AGCAAGGTATCAAAAGCCTGGGATGAAGTAGCATTAGACCAGGTGATATAGAGTAGAAACTTTTTCAAGAAATGTAAAATTAAGAAGGTATGATTTTCCATAATCAAGTTTCAGAAACACAGGTTCCAGTCAGGATGGTTAGATGTTAAACCGAAGATTCCTTCTTTTACATGTTTCAAATTCTGATTCCTTCAGGATCCAATTATACCCTGAATAACAACTATATCATAATATATGTGCATTCTAAGGGTCTTTTGTTTTTCTTTTTTCTTCTTCTACCCTTACATTTACAGTGGTTTATATGGCTTTAATTTCTAAGCTCACAGTGTGATGGAAGTTGATGTTAATGAAAATAAAATTTATGCATTTCAGTAGTTAGAAAATAAGATTAAAATACCCGTGTGTTTGCTTGGCCAAAACTGGATGGAGCCAAGGAGATATCAATTCCTCCAACATGTTCCCAGAAGTCTCTTTCTCCTAAAAGATGTCTCCATCTATTCCCAAAAATTATCTGCATCACCAGGTAAACATATGTAAATTCAAGATCATGTAATAAAATGACTAAAAATAACCCTTTGGACTCACATTGTTTGTTGATGTCTGAAAGTTGGCCCATACAGAGTGAACCAGATTGACTTTGCTTCTTGTCCCGCCATTTCTCCATATAAACTGGAAACAAGTATACAGACCATAGATTTCAAATATAATTCTTTAAAAGATAAGATTTACAACAGCAAAATAAAATGAAGTAGCTAGCTCACATTAGCCAAGGCATTCAGTTTTTCTGAATTCGGGGAATTTTCATTTCTTGAGTTCCATACTAAAGCTACCTGCACTTTACCTAGAAGGAAGTATAACTTAAACATTAGTTAGATTTAAGATCAATTTTTGCGTATTACAGAAAATCTGATTCTAAAACTCACATAATTATAATGAATTCAGCTACTAACCATTTTTATATCTTTCGGAGGCAGGAAGAGATGTATCATGTGTTGTCACGGCCATCTGCACACCACCATTAATTGAGTTACCAGAAAATTACAACTTACTAGCATATTTTCCATGTACACCTTCATTATCTTGAATCTCACCTGCACATAACGTAAATCACCCGTTCCCTCATCTTCATCATATGGCTCAATGCTTAGTTCAGTAATACCTGAAAATTATATAAAGAAGTACAAAAATAATTCAACACTCAAAAACCGGAAAAAGAAACAAATAAACAAAGAAGAAAACAAAATATAACAGGTAACATTGAGTTTTAATAACTGAAAAGGACCTTGTTTAAGCAGCTCCACCGCGGCATTAATACTTGGATGATGAGCTGAAAAAACAGAAAAAAGAAAATACAAACTAAACAAAATTAAAAACTGCAAAAGAAACAATTGAAAATTAATCCAATGATTTAAAAAGTTAGTAGGATTGGGAATTTGGGACCTTTGCATTGAGGAATATCTACTACATTATGAGTGCCCTCCTGATAAAGCCCAATCAGAGGGTTTTCTGATGAACCACGAACGGCTAATTTTGCACGACACCTCCATCCCCACTAGCACCACACCAAATAATATCAAGACTCAAAACCCTAAGTAATACCAGGAAGATAATTTTTTATTTTTTTCTATAAAAAAGGCCTACACTTTACGAAATTAAGGGGGCAAATTGTTAAGTAATACCAGTTTGCAACTGTCGAATGTAAAATCTGAGACTCCAACGGCCTTGAAGAACTCCGTAGCCTCGTCAATGATGACCGGACGGTGGAGATTGAACTCGTGGGTACACCCGGAGCACCTGAATATCCAGGCAACAAATTTAAAATAAATAAAAAAGTTAAAGCAAAGATAATAATTATTGTGGGAAAAAAAAAAAGTAAACTGAAAGGGTGTTGTCGAAAAGAGTTACGATTCGAAGTGTGGGCAGTGGAGGGCGCAGGTTAGCGAGGGCGGAGGGTTTGCGTTGGGGCTTAACGAGCGAGAAGGAGCTGCTGGAGCTGAAGCAGAAGGCGGAGCGCGCACTGCGCTTGGGGAAACGTGGCAGGTAATGAGTGGAGGCGGAGGAGGACGTACGGAGAGGAAGCACAGAGGCATTGCTCCG